CTTTTGTTTTAAATCCTTTAACGCTGAAAGGTCTGGCATCCCTAATTTTTAAGCTGCACTTAAAAACAAGTGTCCCCAAATATAGTACAAACATAGAATCTAAATACAAAGTACTTGAATAATTAACCAGTTTATATGAGTCCAATCTTTGCAATATTGTGTATAATGTGATGACGATAAATTTGTGATTTGTTATGCACCCCTAGCTGAACTGATTTTAAATCATGGCGTTACTGTGCTAGCATAGTAAGCTAAATCACTGCTATTACGTTTCATTGAATAGCTACGGATGGAAGCAGGTCTCTGCTCACCCAGGCAGGTGATGGCAGCTCGGGTAACAACAGCCATCTCCAGGCAGGACAAAGCTCCGAGGTTGTTCACACACAGAACAACACTGTCACCTGTTATAATTAGAAAACAAGTTTTACTAAGCAGTTCATTGACTAGAGTCTCTAAGGCATAAAACATCTGATCCTGTAGCTGCCATGACGTTAATCACCATATTTTAGGATGTTTTGTTCTCAACAAATCGGGTATTGTGGTGGGCCACTAGGGGGCTCCACTCACTAGAGGATGTAAAGATATATAGCTAAATTAAAAACAAGCATCCATATGGTACATGCCAATGAAACCACCAAACTAATAAAAATGTAATAAACTGACCTGATTTCAAAGGCAGATGTGATTGGCTGTCTGGGTTGGTCATGTGATCGATCATCGTCTTCACCACCTCATCTGCTGACGCCACCTGACAGACAAGAACCCAAAGAAACAAAGCTGGTTAACACATTAAAATAAAAACAACTGCAGGTGGGTATTGTTAGCATTTCAGACTGACCTTTGACCTCTTAATTCCAGGCTCTCCATGGATTCCTGATGGACAACAGATTCATATACAAGTTAAAACTCAATTTTTCATGGAGAAGTCAAGCAAAATATTGCTTACAGTGACAGTAACACATTTTCTGAGTCGAGCCAATTGGCCCCTCGTTATTAATGGGGCTAATTTAACCTGTAGTAATAGCTCATTATTCATTTAATCGCATGATGAATTAAAATGACTTCAACCATTTCCATTCTGATGATTAATATTTTTGAAGGGGAATTTTGATCGTAGAAACATCATGATCCATTTTATTTACGATTTCTGTTGTGTCTGTGTTTTATTTATTGTTTTTGGTTGTTGTGTTTCATTTCAGATATTTTAAATATCTTCCAGTTCCAGGGTTAAGCATTCTTTACAGAATTAAAAAGTTTATTGGTCTCTTTTTTATATAATGTCCTTTTAGGATCAACCAAGTATTTTTTAATTTGAGAGAGCAAACTTGCATTACTATGTCATTATTGATTACTTGAATATGGTCGTTTATTGCAATAATTACTTGGGCAATTTATCATGAGCAAAATGTTTTATTGTGACAAGTCTAGGGTCAAAAAAAAGCGCTAGAAATAAAACAAAATAGTTTTTAAGTGAAGTATTTTGTAAGCATTTTTAAACCACTAGGTGGAGCAGTTTCATAACAATCCCTAAAATATTTACATTCAGTTTGATTTTTACGAATAGAATCAAAAGTTAAACCTCTGTCCATCAGATCTGCAACCTCAAACCTTCCTCTACGTTTTACCAAACGCTCCACCCTCCTGTCGTCGGCTCTTACCCAGTCCCAGCTCCATGGCTCCTGGCGGCAGGTCGAAAGAGGGCAGGCATCCTGGAACGCTGCATGGAGAAAGACTCACTCCCAGTGTGCCTGTGATGCAAGAATCCACGAAATTAACAGTGATAAGACGAACTCAAGCAACAATGGAGAGGATTTAAAACAATGGTGTCCAAATCTTTTGTCATGTGAGCCAAAAACTAATTTTCTAAAGCACTAAAGCCAAAAAATAAAAATAGTACCGTTTACTTCTCAAAAATAAACCAGGCAACTAATTTTAAGTAAACAAATGAAGAAGTCAGTTTTTCTGGTAGGAAAGAGAAGCTTAAATCATGGGCCACACTTTGGACATCAAAGAGAAAGACACTCACCAATCCCTTTCAAAACGTCTTTCATCTTGGAAACAATCTGGTCCAATGAGCAGCCTTCTTCTGCCAACGCCCCCGCCAGCTGGACACAGTTCAACAGCAACACATTTATTATTCATTTTGTCTAGAACATTTAAATAAAAACACTTTCCTAACTGATCCTTTATCTGATCCCTTTCTGATTTTCAGATGTTTTTGTGACCCACCTTGTGTATGAAGACGGTGCCACACAAGCCTCTCCTGCCGGCTTTACTGGGCTGGTCGAAGGCGCAGTCCTCGGCAACAATCACCATGTCAACGGCCACCCCCTGGTTACGGGCTTGCTCCGCCGCAAGGCCAAAGTTCAGCCGGTCCCCGGTGTAGTTCTTCACTATGAGAAGGACCCCAGAAGCTCCTGGAGAGCCAGAAACCGGCGTCAGACTCCAAATTTAGATATTTTTATCTGAAAACTAAATTTGTTAATATCTGAAGAGCAGATTTACCTGCCTGGTGTAAGGTGAGAATGGCAGCCAGGATGCTGGCAGGAGGCGGAGAGGCAAACACTCCTCCTGCCACGGCCGCAGACAGCATGCCGGCACCAATATAACCTGAAGACGCACCAGCAACTTTAAACTGGGACCAGCAACTTTAAACTGGGACCAGCAACATTAAACTGGGACCAGAAACTTTAAACTGGGACCAGCAACATTAAACTGGGACCAGCAACATTAAACTGGGACCAGCAACATCAAACTGGGACCAGCAACTTTAAACTGGGACCAGCAACTTTAAACTGGGACCAGCAACTTTAAACTGGGACTCCACACCCCTATATAAATGCCAGCAAACTGCAAACATACAGTCATGGTGGGGAAAAAAAAGTACACCCTCTTCTGTTTCTCTGGTTTTACATATTACAAGTTACGATCTAAAACTATTTAAATTTAACTTTAAGTGAACTAAAAACACCAAAAAAATATGAAGCCAAAAAAGAATAATAAAAAAATATTAAGTATACCCCAGCGTAAAGTGGCCGTCTCTATAAAAAGCGGTGCACCGATTGCAGTTCTCTGGCCGATCATCGATTACTAATCTTTAAAAAGCCTGATCTGCCATTTTGCTAAATAATGTAAGAACCCCTCTCGATAAACTTTAAATTTTAATAAACATTTAACACTGGAAAACATTTTAAATATCCGAAATATATAAACAAAACAACACAAGCAACAAATAAAATGAATTAAAACAAAACTATTTTAATTCATTCAAAGGAATAGGGGGCTTTCCTTCCAGAAAGCCCCCTATTCTTGAAGGAAAAGTTGAGACCAAAGCACCAGACTGAAAACCAATTTTTGGTAGAAAGAGAGAGAAAAACAATAAATCGTTCAAATGGAAATGATTCATTTTAATTTATCTTGTGATTTATTGTTATCGGTGGATAAGACCGGCTTCATATTTAACTATCAGCTGATCAACAATCTCCCAGAATTAAGGAAATCGGTGCCAATAAATCCAAAGTAAAAAGGATAAATCTAAATTCTTATCATGGTAAGAAATTTATCACGATACATGACAAACGATGTATCGTTTATCATGTATCACGCACTCCTAATTTCACGTTCCAGAAATGATTAGGGTGTACTTTCTTTTCTCCAACATTTAGAGGTCATCCATAATAAAAGGTCGTACCCCCGTGTGCCGGCTCATGTCCTGAACCTCCTCCAGACAGCAGGCCCACTTTGCCCTTCAGACTGTCCAGGTCAGAGCGAAGCACGACTCTGTGGCCCTTCAGCAGAGCGAGGCCCCCAGAGGCCCTGACCAGGCCGCACAGAGCCTCGTCAACACAGCAATCCACCGAGTTGATCAACTTCTTCTGGGCCTGGGAACAAACATCCTGTTATCAAACTAAATATCATGATGGACTGATGCAAATGGAGCCGATCAGAGGATTTCTGCAAAACTAAAACGACATGAAAGATTTGAGAAGATGCATGTAAACTATTAGAAGATTAATCTTAGAAATTTTCTAGAAAATTTTGAAATTTCTGAGTTTAAAAAGGCGAATATTTTCTACAAAAGAACTTCATACATTTTGAGATTAATTTTTGAAATTTTCTAGGAAAACAAGTACATTTCCGGGTTTCAAAAGTCGATAACATTCGACTTTTGGAAATTGCATGAAAAGTAAAAATGTTCGACTCTTGTAACTCAGAAATGACAGCATTTGCAGCAGTTGCTTATCACTGAATGGACTCTGATCCTTCTGGTTCTGCAGAGCAGACTTGGCTCAACCACGTTACCAAGACGCTGCATTCATCCAACAAGACTTCACTAAATGATGATACAGCTTCATCAACACTCAGTGCATCACTGTCCTGGAGATAAAACAGCCGATTCACTCATTTACCTCCATGTTTAGCATGTGTTGTCGCTTCTCCCGACAGGCAGCAGCAGGATGACGTAGCGGCGTCAAAGCGGAGAGATTTAGAGGCAAAAGCCGGATGTTAGTTTCCCTTCAAAATAAAATCGCTTTAGAAATTTATTTATTGAGTAATTATTTGCACAGTTCATTTACAGAATTATATTTATGTATGTGTGTAAAAAATCTGTAATCTAAAATGACTAAATTTAGTCATAGGTTTTTTGTAAATATGTTAATTATAGAAAGTCTTGTTTTAATTTTAAAAAGTGGAAATGCTAACATTTGGATTTTTAAACATTTCTCCATAGTGAAATGTTGATAGGTATCAACCCCATGTATAGGGATGATGCCTCACCCTATACATGGGGTGAGGTATCAACATGTCAAAATATAAGGTACTCTTCACTAGTAATTTTTTTTAAATTATTTGAAACATGGAAGAAAAACTAATAATAAAAAACAACAACAATTGTTTAAATATGATATTTTGTGTTTCAAGAAGAAACTCAACAATGTTTGTTTTATTTTTCACCAAACATGCACGGCCCTTCCTTCCGCAACCACAGGTTGGAAACACATGGAGTCCCCGCCCACCCGGGCTGCCCTGTCTGTTTTCCTAAACCCACTGTGTGGTTCCTCCTCCCAACCTGTCCGCAGTCCCGTCCGTCCGTTCAGCGCAGCTTGGAACCGTCCACAGCAACATGCAGGATGGCGAGCGTGGAGACAGCAGCCGAACACGAACGCATCCTGCGGGAAATCGAGAGCACGGACACCAACTGCATCGGACCGACACTCCGGTGAGTCAGCCTGCGGCGGCTGCGTGCCTGTCAGTCCCGCTGGAAGATGGTCTAACGCTCGGCGTCACTCGGCTCCTGAGAGCGCCTTCAAAACTTTAAACACATATGCTTCCTTTATCGGACAGCTAACCGGCTAACTTTAGCAAACATGAAACATGGCTATTTTATGTAATACATTCTGGAGTTAAAACTTAAACAGAAACTCTTGTCTGACTTAAAGTTTCTGTCAAAACCCGACTCTCTTGTTTTTGTCCTGTAACTTTGGTAACTTTTATCAGGAGGTAAACCAACCGTTGGGCTAACGTTAGCTTCCTTAGCTAACTAGTTGTCATTCTGTTCACACTTATTGGAAATACTGCTTTAATAGGTATATTAATTCTCTCCGTTTGGTGTAAGCGTCATCACGGGCTTCTGTCTTTGTCTGTCAGCCTTTTGGGAAAAAGTTTTGAAGGCTTTATATATTATTTTAGACTTAGCAGCAGGTAATCTCTGCAGTTTATCAGGGAGTGTCAAGTGCAGTTGCCTCTTTTGTCACAGTCACTCATTGAAAATCCTAAATATTTGTTACTGAAGTAATGAAATATAGTATTTGTTAATGATTGGCACAAATTCTTATGCTGTAGCTCTGTTATTTAGTAGAAACTCTTAACCAGTTAGTAGTTTTGACCTGATTTGGGTCAGAATGCTGTTCTTGTTTTGCTAAACAGAGCCTAACAAAACTATTTCCCACATTTTGAGGTGTTTTCAAAATGTCTCAAAGTGTGACATTTATTTGTATTCATCCGTTCTTAGTTGATAATTTGAAGCACTGCCTATTTGGTTCTACTGCCATCATTTATTGGGTTTGCAGCATCAGAACCGGTGACTTAAAAATGCTTAAAAAAAGGTGATAAATAAGGTTTGTTCTGTTCTGATGACGACTGGGGAATATCGAGATGAGAGCGTAAAGAGGAGCAAGTCATAAAATAAAAGACGTTATGGATAAACTTCAGTGTCTTATAGTGTCTTCAGTCAGAGGCTTTTCCAGAGCTGCTGTAGTACTGGCTGCTACAGGAAATCTTTCCTGCCCAATTAGCATCTATGACAACTATTTGAAGAAAACTGGATAGGTAGAGTTAGAATTTTCCTCTAGGATCAATAAAGTTTTTTTATGTTTAATTTTATATGCATTAGGGTTTTGTAGGTATTTTGTGAACAGAATCCATTTATTGTTGCCTCATATTATGGATTGTATTTGAGTTCAGGCTTTGACTGGACTGTTTAGCGCTGAACAGAAATGCAGACTTCACAGATTTTTATTTGTAAAAATGTTCCAAAACCCTTTTACTTTGACTCCACCATTTTGCATTGGTTTGTGTTGGCTTTTTACATAAAATCCCACCGGTATACATCAAAGTTAACATGACAAAATGTGGAAAGTTACAAGTGGCGTGAATATTTTTCCACACCATGTAACTGACTCAGTCAGAACTGAGTTTTTTGGAACGAAATCTGTGAACATTAGAAATGCGAGTTAGTTTTATTTCAGGCTCTTCTTTGGAAATGGAAAGAAGACGGACGGCGCCTTTGGCCAGCAGTGTTTGCTCTGATTGTCCAGAGAGGAAACGAGCTGTGAATGAAGGGAGGAAATGCAGCTGAGGAACTGGCCTATTGAAGCCTTATCAAAGGTGTCTGTGTGCTTTTCAGAGATGGATTTTTTCCTGTTATTCCAATGCGACGGTCATTTCTCTTTTCCAACGTAATTAATTAGATGTTTTTTTCCCTGTTGAGGCAGTTTGTCCAAAAATATAGTCTGCACAGAGGCGCTTTGGTGAAGAAATGAGCTCAGTGTTTTTGGCTCTTTTACAGTTTTCTCAAAGTTTGTTGCAGATTTGTGATGCATAGAAGCTGAATGCTGCTTCTCCATGTTTGGTTCTGGGGATGAAGACCAGAACCAGAAGACCTGAGAGGTCTGGGAGGTTGATACAACGGCAGCAGATCTTTAATGTGTTGTGGTACTAAGCCGTTCAGTGATTTATAAAACTAACTGCAGTATTTTAAAGCCTATTCTGTGAGATTAGAGTTTGCATCAAGTGTTAGCAGCAGTCTGAAAATACATCCAGGCTCTAACACAACTTGACATCTTGGTTCAGCACCTCTGGCTGCCACATTCCTCTGAGCGCGAGCTGCTCGGTGCCACGCTGGGTGACTCAGCCACGCTGACGGCTGCTGGATGACTCCCTCCCTGATGTTTCATCTTTTCCAGCCTCTTTCTGTCCCAGTCGTTTTGCTGTTTCCACTTCTTGCTCCACATAGATCCACAAATGTTCTGGGTCAGTTTATATTGCGACTAAGTTAGCTTCTGGAGATGGTTTCAACTTTTCTTCCTTGTTGAGTCTTTTTAGAGAAATGTAAATAAAGAAGTTCTGTTAATATTTTAAACCGATCAACCTAAGCTGTGTAAAGCTGTCATGTGATTTAACAGCGCTCCTAAGACCTGCCTCCTGTCTCTGATTGGTTGTTTTGGACTGAGTGGTGTATTTCTGCAGTTGGTACTGGGAACACTGGCAACACTTAGAAAAGGCAGTGGAGATCAGATTTTTACACAGATAAGCTGTCTTTTCTTATACTGTCATGACATTATGATAATGTTAACAAATATGTTAAAAAAACATTTTTTGTACAAGTTACATAGTCTTAATGTATTTTTAGTCTTAATGTTTTTTAATGTAATGTTTTTAGTGTTTGATGTATGTAAGAGTACAGTGTGGAAGACAGAAATTACAATTTCCCTGTGGAAAATCCCCATCTACCTACCAACCAACCTTCCAACAAACCTTCCACCATCCTTCTTATGTACCAACCTCCTTACTTGCAAGATACCCCTCATCGCCTGGATGCTAACAGCTGGCAGGACACCACCAACCCGCCCTCGGTTACCTCCCCTCCTGGTCCACCTGGCAGCGTCCACTCTGACACTTCCAACTGTTCTGGTGGCTTTACCTGCCTTCTCTTTATTCCCACTGTGGTCTGCTGTTAAAAATCATCTTGTGTTCCTATTTTTCTTCTTCTGGTACCTGGTAACCTACCACTTACCTACATACAGATAACGAACCTACCTACTAACGTATGTAGTAGGTAGGTAAGTTTTTTGAAAGTTTTTTTAAATAGAGATGCATTCTTTGATGCATAAAAATGCGGATTTGAAACACACACAGCTAATCATCACTTCTTGTTTTGTATTAAACCAAGCTGTGATGTTTTGTAGCTCAGTAGTCTTACCTATAGCAGCAGCAGTCTGTCCATTATAAGCGGAAAACATCATTTATTATTGATGTCCTCTGATTGTTTGTGGCCTTTACCAACCTGCCGCTGTACTAGCAGTAAATGTTGCAGCAAATGTTGACTACGATGTTTTTGACGATTTTCTTTTCAATCCTTCCTCGTCTGGCTGCTTCTCTTGCTTCTCTGAGAACGATGTTTTTGACGATTCTCTTTATGATCCTTCCCCGACTGGGAAGCAAACCTCCCTGGCTGGGGAAGTTTGCGTTGAAAAGAAGACAGTTGAATCTGAAAATTCAAGTGTGGCTTTGATGAAGGCTGTTTTAAGACTGTACCCATGAAGAGAGCGCTGTCGTAGGGTACGATCTTGCCAATCTTTCTCAAATCTTCCCAGTTGAGAAAGTTCTTTCAGAAACCACAGATATCATAAAGAACAAAGTCAGCAAAAATGAAGAAAGCGACATTGACACGATTTGCACATTTTCCAACTCTTCCAAAAATGGTTGGATTAACGCTAGTATTCAAGGCTTACTGAACTTGAGTTTTACCAGAAAGTGCCTGTTGGAGAATCCCCAGAAGTTCTTGCAGTCGTCATCAGCCACTCCGTTATTTGCTGGTCTGACCTACACAGCAGTTCACAGTCCAGGTAAACATTTCTCCCCACTGTGTATGTTCCGAGTTCAGGTGGAACTGAGAGAGAGTGAACTCTCGTCAGATTTGGGGAACCACTATCAAGCTTCATATTTTCTGGAAGCTGTTTTAGACTGGATAAATTCTAGTGGTGGAAACATGGATATGCTATTGAACAGCGAGAAGACCTGTGAAAGGTGTAAGGGAGACTTCATAGGCTTCTTGAACAGCAGTGCCCTTGTTGTTCTCCCTGCAATACCTTTCAGCACCACTGCCGATCTGTTTAGATCAGTGGTTCTTAACCTGGGTTCGATCGAACCC